ATTCAGTTACAAAACAGGAACTTGAGGCCAGGGACAAAAGTAAAAGCTCCTTTAGCAATTCCTGTTTCTCAGAAAGGATGTCTTAATCAGCCAAAAGGAGTGAATGAGTTTTACAAATATTGACATCTTATTCTCCTCTTAAAATACTGTACATCATCAAGTGTTTTTATTTACTACAACAGTATTCAATATGTATTAACTCAAGTTAAAAACTGTCAGAAATTTCTGCTATATATTATTCATGTCAGGGTTTTGGAAAAGAGGGAATAAACACAAAATTTTTCCTTTATGTGCTGTAGGGAATTTTTTCACAATTATAAAAATAAGCCTTCTTTAGCTTAAATTATATTTTCTCAAAATTTTCCATACTTAGTAAAAGTTTAAGCTTTTCACAATATGAAAGTAGAAGTGAATCTTAGTCATAACTCTTTCACTGAATCTACAGACAAGATTAATTTGTATAGAGATGCAGTTCCTTTATTTGTCCTTTTTACTACAAATATATCCTAAGCGTACATTAAGTAATTGATCTTCTAAAGTCATTTCCCCTTGATTCATATATATCCCTCTGAATTGCAAATTGTATTGTGATCATGTTCATTGTAGCTTACCAAACCATTCTTAATATTGTGTTTGGCTTTACTACTAAAATATTATGACTATTGATAGCTCTGTAATAATGAGATTAATCAACCCTAAGGGGAAAGGATGAAGAATATATTACTGCTGTGGTTTGGATAAGGTCTCCAAATGTCCAGGTTTTGGAGGCTTATTTCCTCAGACCCAGTGCATGGAAGTGGTAGGACCTTGTAGAAATCTTTCAGGTCATTGAAAATATGTCCACCAAGGATATTGTAGAACTCAGGCCTTTTTCTCCTATTTCTTGTTGGTAAAGTATATGATTTCCCTCTCCAGCAGAAGTTAACAGTAGAACTTTGATGAAAAGGCTCACATTTAGAGATGGCAGTTACTGCTGGCCTTCATGTTGGACTGTACGTAATGTTTGTGTTGTCTCCTTTATCCTATCTCCCTTAGCAGTTACCACGGTGTCTGCCATGAGGACATGACAATTAATTATTAACTTCCTGCAAGCCAGAGAGGCTATTTGGGAATAAATATTTGAACTGAGCCTTGAAGAAGAGGAAACATTTGACCACAAGGTGACCATGGTTGGAAAGAGAGAATAACATGAGGAAACATTGCCTCTTGCAGGAAATAGCATGGATTAGACTGAAGCAGTCATAAATGTAGAAGGCTTTGAATGTCAGACTAAAGTGTGTTTTTGTTCATCTGGTCCCATAATGTCTCAAAGTCTCAAATGAAGTGAAATATAACTTACTTGCCCTTCCAAATGATTGTGAGGACTAAATAGGAAAGTGTATAGAAGTGTATGCACTTTTCTAACCTCGAGAGTGATATAAAGTTGTTAGCTAAAACTTTGATATTATTTTGGATTTCTCTTATTCAACTCATTATTATCTTCATACCCATAGCAGATTGTTTTTTCCACTTATCTTACCTTCTCTTTATTTCTATCTTTCTGACTGCATAGACCTTTTGCTCTCCCCAGCCTGGTCTTACCCTTTTCTCTCCACCTTTTCACATCATGTTTGTTTTAGAAGACCAAATTGAAATACCAAGGATCTGTGAGCATACTGTCTTTCTTTCTGAATTGTTCAAACACTTATCACAAGAGACAAATTTAATGTTCTCTAGTTTATAATTGTAATATGCTTTCTGTGTGCTTAGCTGGATGATTAGCTCCAAGGGGCAGACAGAACATATGGCTTACTTTATCTTTCTTTGCTTGCTAAAGTCTTTATAGCAAATGTTTATTAAACTATAAAAATATCCATGGTTACGGCATATATTAAATAATAACTTTAATTTTACAGTTGGAGGATAGAATAATGTACACTTTATAATAATGTCATTTGTAGATAAAGAATTCAAGTTGGCATGTAAACCTGGAGGTTCTTAAGGTAGATAAGTTAGTGTTTGTACCATCAGTCCCAGTTTATATGGGATTTTGAAAACTTATATCTAAAGGAAACTCCATTTTTTGACATGTTTTTTTGTTTTGTTTTGGGTTTCTTTGTTTGTTTTGTTTTAATTTAATTTAATTTAATTTAATTTAATTTAATACAGTGAAAGAGTAGAGAAAAACAGAGCAACCCATACGCTAATGATATTTCTGTAGGCCAAAAACTACTAGTCTCAGGTGGTGGCTCATGCAATATTTTAGCATGTGGGAAGCTGAAGCAAGAAAATTCCCACAAGTTTAAGACCAACCTGGATTGCACAGTGGGTTCCAGCTGGCCCAGGCTTTGGAATGATGCCCTGTTTCAAACAAGTTCAGCAGTCAAACTTGGGAAATTTCAAATTGTGCCGTGTAACTATATAATTAATTCAGTTGAACTTCCTAACCTGAATAATGCATACATAGCCAAACAATTCCACTATATTATTCGAGAACAAGATACTTTCTCTTAGCATCCATTCATCAGTTGGGAGATGCTGTTAAGCAGCTAGTATGTGCTAGAACAAAAGCAGATGCATGGTACAGAGGACAAACAGGGATATCGTTGGTGATTTGAGTGTGTTTATAGATTAGGAAATATTTTTATAAACAAATATATAATAGTAAATTATAGTAAATATTATTAGAAAAATAGACTACTTAGTAATTTTAGATTGGATAAGTCAGGAAAACATTTGTGAGGCATATTTGATGTACCCTGTAAGGAATGAGTAGAGGTAAATAAATATTCCTTATGAGAAAAAGTAGAAATAGCCAGAGAAAGGCAGCACATGTGGGCCTCGACATGTTTAAGGATAGAAACTATCCAGAAAACTACATGATACAGTGAAGTGGGTAGGAAGACTGAGGAACCCAAGTGCACGGGGAAGCTACTTGAAAGATTGCTATGAATGGATTTATATGCAAAAGGAGAGGAAAACAGGGGAGGGGAGGTTAAAAATATAGACACATAATAGCAGACTAAGGAAATATTAGAGAAAAATGTGGAGGTAGAAAACATTATATTTCCCAAAATCAGAATCAACTGAGTTATTGGTGAGTTAGATTGAAGTGGCCGAAGATAAGACAGAGGTGCTAAGCATGACTCCCACAAATTTGTCTTCAGTGAATGAAGTAAACTGGGGGGAGGGGAGGCTGGGAGAATCAGGAAACCATTTTGGGACAGATTAATTTAGTTGTCTAACTTCCAAGTGTAAATCCCACATCGTCAGATATTTGTCAGAAGCAAATTCAGACTAGTTAAAATATTCTAAGCTTAATAAAGATGAAATCTGTATGGAGACAGGCAGAAAAAAGTTCAGTGACTGCTGTCCTGATGCTTGTAGGAACTGCATGAGTAGTATAAGGAAGAAAGGCAGACTTCTGTGAGCTAACAAATTATACCTGATAATAACTGCTTAAAGATATGTGAACCTGGGAATTCAAGGAGAGGACAGTTGAGAGAACAGGGAAGAGATGTTGTATTCATGAATATGCATGAGTGTACATCTTCTGAAGGAAATGCCTCCCACCTCAGACACACAGCCAAATAAAGGTGAACCCAGTCATTCAAATCCTGCATTTCTTAACACAGGATTTCTGTAAAATGGATTACGGTGTGACACATGGGTGATGTTTTAAAGTCCTATATGAGTGACACTGACTATTCTGCTGGTTTCCAGTCTCTACTAGAGTAGGAGCCTACAGACAAAGTAAATCTATATAGGGGTTTAGAAAGCAAAAGCTGAGGTAGGAGAAAAAGCATGTCACAAATGGCACTAAAGGTTTAGCAACCAGAAATGATCCAGGGTTTAATATACTGCTGTTAGGTTTGACGAAGGGAGGCCAAAAATTGGCACTTGGCTTGCCCAAGAGGAGTAAGTTGTTGGTGGCATTATCAAGAGGTGCTTCTCTGGTGAGGTGCAGATCCTTGCCACTAAAGGCCGGGTATATTGAAATTGTGTGATTTTGTATGTGATATGAGTGAACAGAAAAGAAAGTAAGCTCACACACACACACACACACACACACACACACACCAGTGAGCTGAACAATAAAAGATGTGCACCATGAATGTGCACAGTTGTTTTCAAAACCTTGTTAACAAAATGGAACAAAGTGCAATCAAACCTGGTGGGGGTTAGGGGATAGGAATGAGAACCAGACTTTGGGGCTGAAACAGGAAGGAGTTCTAGGCTCCTTAGTAAATGGTGTTGTGAGTTCCTCTTTAGGCAACAAAATGAGATCCCGGTTCCCACCATGTGAACTAAGGCAGTTAAATAAAGCACGTAGGTAATATATGACAACCTAAAAGTTAAAATTAACAACCACAAAATTTTTAAAAGTTGTTTTGGGGCTTTTGCTTTGGTTGGGTTGGGTTTGGTTTGGTTTGGCTTGGCTTTTCATTTTTCAAGACAGGATTTCCCTTTATAGCCTTGGCCGTTCCAGACTCTCATTGTAGACCATGTTGGCCTCAAACTTAAAGAGATCCATCTGCCTCTGCCTCCCTGAAGATGGGATTACAGGCATGTGCAACTGCACTCATTGTATCATTTTAATCATCTAAGTTTTATTTTTATTTTCATGAATTTGTATATTTTTGTATACATGAATTTGTATCTTTACATAAATTAGTTATCTGTTGTTGCCTTCTTTTATATTTTAGCTTAAAATTCCATTTAACCTATTTTTCTAGGAACCTAAGAGTCAGAAATTTTGCTGGCAAGACGTCCATATGCTTTCCTGTGGGCTTTGTCTGTGATGTGATGCTAGAGAATTCTAGAGAAAATACCTTCTTCATGGAGTCTGCCAGGCCCTGACCACTGAAAAATCAGCGATAAAATACAGAGCTGGTTGGACTCTTAGACATGTACCACACAGATAGAGACTGCATCTCAGAAATGTGGCTTATCCTGACTTAAGTGCTTTTCTGTTTTATTTTACCAAGGTCTAACGGTGCTATAAATATATTCCCTTGTAGAATGTGAAACATAGAAAGTACGCACGGTGGAAGGCAACATACATTCATAACTGCTTAAAGAATGGGGAGACTCCTCAAGCAGGCCCTGTTGGAATAGAGGATGATAATGGTATGTATTTATTAGTCCCAACTAAAAATGTTTTAGTAGAATCTGAAGTTTTTAGAAGATTTCTGAGTTTTCAGAAGGTACTAGCAGTTTTTTGTTTGTTTGTTTTTTATCTGCAATAGTAATAATACTGGGGCCTGAGTGGCATTTAAGATTAACACTTTCCATATGCCGTCTGTTCATGTCAGCCAAGTAGCTTGGCTGTCCCCTATATCTGTGCAGATTTCATCCCCATATAGGAAAACAGTCCACTCTAGACCTAGAAATGTTCCCAAACCACAATGAATATGGTATTAGTGCTGTGATGGTTTTGTGTATTTATTTGAATTGTATATTGGCAAGGGAAGGGATAATACTTAACATGGCTCCAAAAATTACAGAGCATATAAAAGTAGGAAGTGAATTTCTCATTTCCATATTTTCATTTTCCTAGATCTTACCAGAACTCGGACATTTAATACATTAGTTTTTGTTTATCTTTACAGAGATCACTTTATGAATTTTCAAGCAAATAGGATAGATAGACAAATGGATGGGTGGATAGATGGATAGGTGGGTGGGTAGATGAATGGATGGATGGATAGATGGGTAGATGAAAGCATACATGGATAGAGTCTCTTCTTTTCCCACACAGTTTATAACACCATGTTTTACACTTGAATTATAAAAAAGAAAACTTTATGTGAGAGAATTTTGACATTACATAGTAAATGGATATATACATGAAAAATATAGACATGTTGTTATTTTTATTTTACCTGTCAGTTAATATGGCATGAAAAAGGAAAGGGAAAAATGTTTCTCACTTTAAAAAAAATTTAATAGACATATAGTCAGTACAGCATTAAAAGAGTGTCACATTGTTCTCTGAATTGAGAAAAGTCCAAATTATATCATTTTATTAGATGATTTGAGGAATTTGTGGAGATGATTGTTTACTGCAGTATCATTAAGCTTTCTTACAGGATCATGTAGTATATATTCTAAGCTTATGAACTACATATCATTATTTCAGATGTTCATTTTTGCTATGGCAATCCAGAAGTGACCAGACAGTTGTACATGGTTATGTTCAATATGTTGCTTATCAGAGTTGGCCAACTACAATCTAACTTGTTTTTCTCATTGCGTTGGATAAAGTGATGAGACTGTCCAACTTTGAAACAACTTTCCTTTGTGAATAAACATCACTTGGTCATGATTTGTTATGTCTTATTACACAGATGGATTCCATTCATTGTTACTATAATAATGAGAATTTTTGCATTGTGATATTCATAACTAAAATTTTAGAAGCTTTTGAGGAGGATTAAAATGTTATACTCATGGGGTGATTTATGAAAGCCTGTAACTCCAACTTCAGGGGCTCCATCTCCTCCAGCCTCTGTGGGCACCTGAACTCACTTAGACATACCTGAGACAGACACACATACACGTAAATAAATGTCATACTTCATGAATAAAATTTGAAAATTTTTGCTGTGAACATAATTGAGCAAATATTCTTGTTGAATGGTTTAGCATCTTAGGATATATACCCAGAAGTAGTATCTTGAGGTAGGATCTTGAGGTAGCACCATTACTAATTTTCTGAAAAAGCACCAGATTGGTTTCCAAAGTGATTGTACAAGGTTACATTCCCACCAGCGATGGAGAAGGGTTCCCCTTTCTCGACAACCTCTCCAGCATGCATCACCCCTTGAGTTTTTGATCTTAGCCATACTGATGGCTGTGAGGTGAACTCTCAGGGTCGTTTTGATTTGCATTTCTCATAATAGCCAGAATCTGGAAACAACCTATCTGTCCCTCAACTGAAGGATGGATACAGATATTATGGGACATTTACACAATGAATACTACAGTTAAAAACAAGGAAATCATGAAATTTGCAGGCAGATGGTGGGATCTAGAAAGGTCATCAAGTGAGGTAATCCAGAAGCAGAAAGACACATTGTATATACTCATTTATAAGTGGAGAGTAGCCATTTACTAAAGGATAAACATACTAAAATCTATAGTCCTAAAGAAGCTAACCAAGGAGGACCCTAGGAAAGAGGCTGAAACCTCACTCAGAAGGGCAAACAGGATAGACATCAGAAGTAGGAGAAGACAAGGAACAGGACAGGAGCCTTCCACAGGATCCCTCTGAAAGACTTTACCTGTCGGGGTATCAAAGGAGATGTTGAGACTCATAGCCAAAATTTGAGCTGAGTGCAGGGAACCTTATGGAAGAAGGGAGAGATAGAAAGACGTGGAGTGGACAGGAGCTCTACAAGGAGACCAACAGAGCCAAAAAAAATCTGGGCCCAGGGACCCCTGCAAAGACCAATACTCCAAGGACCGTGCATAGAGGGGACCTAGACCCCCTACTCAGAGGAAGCCCATAGGCTGTTCAGTTTCAAACTGGGTTCCCTAGTAAGGGGACAGGAGCTGTCTCTGACATGAACTCAGTGGCTGGCTCTTTGATCACCTCTCCCTGGGAGTGTGGAGGGAGCAGCCTTGCCAGGCCACAGAGGATGACAATGTGGTTAGTCTTGATGAGACCTGAGAGGCTAGGGTCAGATGGAAGGGGAAGAGGTCCTCTCATTTCAGTGGACTAGGAAGGGACATAGGGGGAGGGGAAGAAGAGGGTGATGGGTGGGACTGGGAGGAGATGATGGAGGGGACTACAGATGGCATACAAAGTGAGTAAACTGTGATAGATAGATAGATAGATAGATAGATAGATAGATAGATAGATAGAT